AAAAATCTAGGTAAAGAACAATTATCTGTGATTTCATGATGGCGTCCTAGATCAGTAGTACGTGATTTTATTTGTATCGACTCCTCACATGCCTGTTGATTGCATTTATGCTTCCAGTCCATATTAGGCCCTCACTGTAGACTCTTGCCTCAAGCTGCTTTAAGGACGTTTGCCTATGCTATTCCTCTTGACACCAAGAACTTGTACTTCAAGCAATCTCTAATTCCAGAGATCTTGCAAATGGTGTTGGCGCCGCTTCAAAACAATAGTTGTGATATGAAAAAAGTGAAAAAACTGAACAAGTGCTTGAAGAATGCGTTATCACTGTGTGGTGATTTTTACCTGAAAACACGAGTCAGGAATTAGAAGACGCTGGAGGCAAGGGAGGGCCCCAGCAAGACCACAGAGCGTCTGATCTACTGGCCATGGCGACATAGTTTAATATAGCTGTCTCCATTACCTTATTCACAAAATCTTTAAGCTGCACTTTTTAAATGTCCATGGTTGAAAAACCCCTAAATATTAACCGAACGACGAAAAATAGATCAAAAGCTTTTTTCAAAGGAGCAATGTACTTTTAAAATTCTGTTTTTTGATGGCGCTTGCTTGAGTAAATATCTCCGCTGCTTTTGGGGGCTATACCGAAGGTCTGCAAATGGAAATGGCAAAGCCGTAACTGTAAAATAGTAAAAACATTTTCCATTATTTTTTTAATGATTTTCATTTTAATGAAAGGATTTCAGAGGGCGGCTGCTGCACGAGCTCAAAGTGACGTGCGCCTTTTTCGTACCGCGTTGTCCAACCTGAAGCACGAGCATTTACAGATGAAAGTTCTCTTTGGAAAAGAAATTCAAAACTGCGAAAGGCAGATTTCTGTGAGTGCGTTTTCCACTTTAGTTCGCTGATCCTCATTCTTATTAGTTCGTTAATCTTGGTTTCTCCGTTACAGGTTCAGTTGAAAAAATATGAGCGTAAAAAAGGATTACAACAACCACAACCATTCTACGACACAAGAATACACAAGGTTCGTGTTGATAGGTTAGCCCTCGACAATGCACTTGCAGCCTACCAAACCACGTGGTCCTCGTTGATTGGTCAGCTGGCAGACCTTGAAGGAGTCATTGAAGAAACTGGAAATGACGTGCTCAAAGGTAGATGTCGAATAACACCACAAATGGTCAGTGCCCTCGAAGATCGATTGCAGCTTGCGACGTCAGCTATCGAGTTTTGTTGTGGTAAGCCCGCTTATCAAGCTTATCATCATCACACCGCGGAGAAGTTGCTCAAATGGGGATCAATTTTATTGTGCTTGAAAGAGATAACAAATTATGATTTAATTCCGTTTAATTTAGAAAATGACCCCCTGTTAAGAAAGTCAATTTGGCAACACGCAGAAAATGAGATGGATTCCGCTGAGCAGGAAATACAGTAAGTTTAGAGAGGAATATTTATATTATCTGTTCAGTGTGCTACCTGAAATGTATATTTTATTTTCATTTGTAAAAAATGAGTTGTCTACTCCGCCACCTACAAATTTAATATCGATTTCTCATCTTTATTAATAGTGACGAATGATTGCAATCTGTACAGTCAGGCAATTTTCACAGTCAGATATTCGGGTCTTTCCACATGTGCGCTTGCATTTGCTTTACAGCAAATTACCTTTTCTCACTTCACGAAGCTCATAACCATTGAAACATGAGTGAGATCGGCATGTAGAAATTGCCTAGTTAGGCGTTTACCTGCGTGTCCGCCGAATGCTCTAAAGTGCACGATATAAATTTTGCGTTTACAGTTGATTATTCTCGCCTGATCGAGAGTGCATCGCGTGTGGCTAGTTTTGATTTGTTTATTTCACACATTACACTCAACAACGAGATTTGCAGCCCGCTTGGTGAGTAGAACAGGGGCTTTTCACTCTCTACCACAGAGGGGTTCGAGACAGCACATGGCAACATCCGTTTCCCAATGTGGGCAGCGTGGTCTTCAGCTTCACCTTGCATCTTACCGATTCTTTTCACAGAATTCTAGGGGAACAGTTGGAACAGTTATCAGACTTGCGTGAACGCAGTGCACGACTTAACGGCACCATCGTTACATTGAAACGGTAAGCGAAGGTGACGCATTGAACACTGTGAATTTCATGTGCATGTCAATCTAACGGGTATAGTTGTCTGTGGTCAATTAACAGCATCTGAAATTGTAAGTACGACATCTAGAAAAAAAACTAGAAGGATGTGCTTCGCCATTTTGGGAGGTCTGAAAAACATGGGTTCCGAATTCCAGTTTCCTATCAATTTGCAAAAAGTAAATTCAGTGTATGAGTAACATTCAAAAGGTTTGATAAATGAGCTATGTTTAGCATATTGGTTACGTTTAATTGCCTTTAAAATAAGTGTATCAACGAATGTGGTAGTAAAGAGTCCTTGCATCTAATTGGCAACTATAATATCACGCTAACTAGGTCATATTTGATAGTGTGAAAATACTAGGTGTAGACCTTAGAAAAATAAGTTTAGTGGAGGATGCTATTATTATTTTTAGTAATTAAATAGCCATCTAAAATGCAAAATAAAACTCGTTGTTAAAGGCTTTGCACCATCAGCCCCATTCCAGCCTCTTAGAGAGTTTACATTGTGTGACAACACTACTGTACAAATATTCAGTAAGGTATTATATTTACTTACATAGTTTGGCAAAAGTTAACGTCAGTGCTAGACAAAACGAACCACAACTGCATCGGCTACGTGCACTTGGAGGCATACTGCATCCAGCTGCAGCTGACAACGGCAGTGCTGAGAGAAAGCGTCTCATGGCAACAATTCGTCTGCTGCAACCTGACCATGATGAACGAATGCGAAGCATAGAGGTGAGGAGTTTGGATCGTTTACTGCAATCCCTAACCTACTTTCCTCTGTACAATAATAAATAAATAATTAGTTAGTAACTGTTACAAAAGAAGTTTAACAATTGCAGGGGAAAAAAAGCAAAACATTCCAGAAGAAAACTTAACATTATTATAGAAGTTTTACTAAATTCTCATTATTCATAATTGTGCCGAAAATGAACTATGCATCACCCCCTCAAGGGCGTCGGATTAAGCTAAAATCCTGGATAGACTAATGTAATCTTAAACCACAGTAGTATTTGAGACAATGGAAGCCTAGGTAACATACATTGTACCGTTTCCATTACTACCTGCCAATAACAGGCACAAGGCTCCGCATTCTTCTTAATTGTTTTAACTGCCGATGAAAATCAAAGGCACAAAATGCCACATAGACTTCATTTCCCAGCATAACCACCAATCAGCCTCTTAAGTGTTATTATCAGTTGCCACGTTGATAGGGCTTATGATGAAGCTTCAATTATTCGTCTACGTACCGCATACTGTGAAATTCAGATTCAGGAAGCTTTGCGTGAGCGGCGAAAGCGCGTTTTCCGTGATCCTCCAATCTTCAAAGGACCCGCTAAAGCACTTCTACTTAATGGCATCCACATTTCTCCGATTTGGCCGGAAGGATTTTCCCGCAAATCTCAACGAAGCGCGACTCTGATGCTGGATCCCCCGGACACCCCGACCGTGACCGAAGAAACACCGGAGGCCCCCAACTCGACCGCCAACCTCCCACAACCTCTGCGCGTCCCAATTTCCACTGTTCCAACTGCACGCGTCCTCGTTGGTAGGCTTAAAAATCCAAACGCACCGAAGGCTAAACGAAGCGCACACGTCACGTTTAATATGCAGGTATACGTAGACGGAGAGACCCAGCCGCTGCCACTGAACTGCATCCTTGACGAAGACACCGCCGGGGTGCTTCGGAGGAGGCGACCGGTGCCCGCTTTGCCAGGTGACTCGGAAGGGCAGGGGGAGGGGGTTCCACCCACCCCGCCACCCCGCTTGACCAGCCAGGTAACTGCACCAGCGACGGTACCACAAATGCATGCCAGTCCTGTCAAACTCCTGCGTTACGAAAACATGGAAATGTTTCTGAAGAACATTCAACCACAAGCGGCAACCGGTAAATTTATTAAACTTGAAGCATATCATCCGCCAATGCCTATATGCCACAGCAAGTTTATTTTTTAATTTGAATTTTAGAGTTAAACATGGATCTACTTGATCAAGCATGAGGCCAATTCTTCCAACAGTAATTAAAAAAAACAGATATACTTAAAGAGAATTTAAACCACGGAAAGATGTTTCCTGAGCTAACTCCTCGCAAAAATTTATTCAATTTTGTAAAAATATGTACGCCCAATCAGTCCATCAACTTCCACACCTCAGTGAAGGCAACATTACTTGCATTTTTATATAATTTGTGCGTTGCTACTTTCATCTGTATATAAATGACCAACATATTGAAATGGTGGAAGCATGAGTACAGACGTGATTTGAACCTATTTCGCCCATATTTTTTTTAGTCAAGATTGTTCTTATTCTGTCGATTTATGGTAAATGGGTGTCTAAAAATAACTTTTACAAAAAATTAATTAATCCCCTGGTTTGATGCTGCCTAATAAATTAGGCCTTTCTGCCAACTGCAGGATTTCGTGCTCACAGAACCGACCTTTATGAGGCAAGTGCAGATTCCGGCCATCATCAATAGGAATTGGTTTGCGAACCTAGTAATCGTGACGCCGACTCTAGGATGAATGCGACATTGATTTCTGGTTTCAAGAGAAACTACAGGTTAATTATTTTTAAGTATCCATCAACGGTATGGGACCCAAAAACAACTTTTAGGGTGCTTCTACAGTTAATTATTAACTAAACATGACAATATGTGGTAATGATGCCACAGTTGTGAAATAAATCATTTCTAATCGACGAGTGAGCTTTGTAAACGCCTGTGTGGTCAAGCAAGCTTGTTATACAATGTAAACTTACGAGCGGAATTTAAAAGGCACTGTAAGTAAATCATTTAAATGTCACTTTCGGTTTTATGTTCTTAAAAATGGTTTTTAGGTAACTTGTGCGGATTTTACGCTACTAGCCTTAGGGTTTCTCGTGTTCCACAGGAAATAAGTACTCCAAATGCTTATTTAATTTAACAGTCCAATTGGGTTTGTAAGTAAGTTAAGCAAAATAGTCCAAACAAACAAGGCAGCTGCTGCAGGCAAACGTGGTTACTTGTGCTGTTTGTGCATGTGGTGTTACTGACTGCAATATTTTATGGAAAGCAAGCCATTTACTGGTGACATTTGAAAAAAGCACTGTGTGCCATTATCAAGTTCGCAGTAAATTTCAATAAACCTTGACTACTTCGATGTATTCTTCTTCCCTGCTTCTAAAGTACATGTTTTTACCAGCAGGTTGGGTTAGATTATCGGAAATAAATTACAAATTCTTTGTCCGTGCTCTTTAACCCGGGAGACTTTTATTTCGACTGTATGACCTTTACATAACTTTGGATTTTTTATTGTATTTTTACTCCATCGTTCGGGATAAGATCGGTATATTGTTCAAAAAGACAGCTTGCACGTAGCTATACAAGAAGTGCAGTTTAATGCCTTCGGTGATCTGGCACCTTTGTGTCATTATTCTTTGTTGACATTGGATTTTGCAAAATCATCGATGACGTAAGCTTTCATTTACCGAAAATTTCTTATCTCAGCTTCTTAAACGCAAGTCAGTTATTGAAGGCAAATCATATTTTCTCCAGGAACATTAGTCCGACGGAAAAACAAGGTCATGCCTTAAATTTGAGTCAGTAAATTTGGGTATCATTAGAATGGAAGTTCGAAGTTGAACGGAATTTTGTTTGGCGACAAAAGGCATTTTTGACTCTAAAGTAATTGAACTGTTGAAGACATGACACGTTTTTGCAAAATAGTGCCAAGCCAGCTAAAACATCGGCAGAATGTCTTGAGAAGTTGTTATTTACTAAAGAGCGGGAACTGCTGTACTCATTTGTGGCACACTCCAACCCTATCATTACACATTCTAGTGTTTTCCTAGATAACCTTTACTTTCCCTTTTTACTTATAGTCACCAGTTTCTATTCCTACACAAAAACGCCACTTTCGTGGTCACTGATTCGAATCTAATCTTAACCACTGGAAGTAACTTAAGCCCTGGCCAAAATCCCTACATGTTTCTTTACTCCTTTAGTGCGTTTGATATTGCAAGCCATATGTAACACGTAGCTGGTCAAATTCCTTAATGAGACGACTGTTTGCAGTGATCAAGTCAATGTTTCTCGTTTGAACGTGGTTTAAGTGGTAATTTAGGCTTGTAGAAAGTATCAGGCCGCGTACAGACCTTTTAAACGATTAATATTCAGAATAACTTAGTATTGCTGAAAACGTTGCCAAGTATAACTTAGAAGCCAAAAAATGTTAGCATTCAAAACAAGGAATTAGAAACGATTGTAACTCCGTAGTCCAGGAATTATTTTTCTGAGTTACTGATCGTCGTGCTAATACGAAATCAAAACTTGGATTTGTAGTGAAATTTACAAAAATAGCCATTTTGTTTGCACTGGTTAAATATTTTCTTTGTCAGAAAATAAACCCGTTTTACCTAGAATCCGTTTTACAATAGAATAAGTATAACTTGGCTGTTTCGTCCCTATAAATTGTCAATTTAGCTTGATCAAAAACAGATATGCTGTTTAGACTCTTAGGCTGCTCATCTATTTTAGTCTTATATTAGAATCCGTTCACTCTCTCTCGGTAACAGTTTAGGTGCTTAGTTGGAAATTTAAACCCGACCAACTTGTGTCTCAACGGAGAATGAAATTTTGGATGAGGTTAAATAAATTTAGCAATGACAAGAAATCATTTTATTAAAGCATTCTTTTAAATTCAGTTATGTGATAATTCCTCTGACTCTTATGAGCTTGTGAGGTTGTTCGAGAAGATGATCATCTTAGCTGTAGTTAGTGAAAAGGTCGTTCGAAATAATCTGAAAGCCACGTTTCTGATGAGTTTAAACTTCTGAAATGTGAGTAAGATGCGGCGCTGGTTATTGTAAATCGAAATTCCTTTTTTTAAAATAACCGGTTGCGGTGGCATTTCGAGTTGTTTGCATACTCCGCATTAACAGCTGTTATTGCTTGAAAATACAGTATCATGTGGTTAAAAGTGCAAAATAGGTCATGGTTTCAAGTGTACATTTTGCGCACTTTCGTTCGTAAACATCTCGTGATTTTGAAATTAAGCGGACGGTTCGGCTAAGCGATGTGAGTGAAAGAACGTGTCAGGAGGCGACCACGACTGTGTGCGTCAGGTGTACGTCAGAGCTGCTGCAGAAAACAGCTCTCGCCAACGACGTCCCCTTAAAGATGGTTAAACATGGTGTTGCAATTTTTCAGTCAAAATTTGCAAACTTTCATTTTGATTCTTATAAAAATTCAGTGGTTAGGATGAGTAGTTAGTGTTTATCGACTTTAATATATCCATATAATTCATTTAGGAATGGCTGAAAAGCATAAGCGGCATAGAAGCGAGGCGAAAGATTGAATAAAGACAACCGGAACATAAATGGGTTTTCTTTGGTCTCCGCTGATGCACGCTACTTTTTCCCTAAAACTAAGATTTAAAAATTAATTGGCAAAATACAAATTCTAATAAGTCAGTTGTAAATCCAATTTTCATCATGTCCTCAAAGTGAACTAAAAATCATAATATCTTGACTAAAAATACTAATTTTGTGATCAATAAAGAAGATAGAAAGCCACATCGAATGAAATAGGTACATGGCCCAATAAATTTAAATTGATTGTAAATGCCTTTTCCGTCGTTTTTATAATGCTATAATTAACCAATCAGATTTGACCCAGTAAATATTCCTCAGAATTTTAGATTTAAATTAAACTTACGACATTCCTGTGCATCCAACGGGCCATGTAATTAGGTTTTTACCACGGATTGGCACATGTTAGGCGTTTCTGTTGACAAAGCCTTTTCCTATCTCCATTACATTCACTCTTTTATGCCCTGATATCTGAAGACCTTGGCTATTTGAAATTCAAACATGCATCAAATACGGGAGAAAATTTTGACAAAAAGATGACGATTTTCAATTGCAAGGTCCTTGTTGCTTTTTTAGTTCATTCTTTACGATGCACGAACTCATAAAAAGCACCAGGAAGATTGGTGTGCATGGGTTACGTTGGTGATTCGATGAATGTATCCCGGTCAATGCGAACTTTAAGGCCCTTCATGACCCATGTGTCGACAAAAACAAAAACTGACGCTTACAAAAAGTCTTCACTTGGATTGGGTTTTCTGCTAATCATAAATTGCCAGTGCTTCGAAATTTGAACTTAGTGTGTGCATTTCGCATTGAAGGTCAGTAGCCTACCAACGCACACTTAATATGAGCAGGCTGATTTGAGGGAGGTCGTAGCGTCAACTGATCTATTTCACGCACACACGTAGAAGCTCGCACGTTTAATTGAATAAACCTACGCAACATTTGGGCTGAGATTAATCGGAACATTAAAATTAGTTAAAACAGACTTTAGGAAATAAATTTTCTTGTAATTCCCCGCCCAATGCCTTGACGAGTATAGTTTGGAATCCTGCATTATCCGGCCATTGAAATATCGGTGATAAAAATCGGAACATTGTCGTGTAATTGCATAGTCAAGAATACTTTTCCTTTTCTTTAACTGAAAATGTAAGTAAAATACAGCCTAGTTTTCTTTCTGATCCGATTAGTAACACGTTTGTTTTACTGAAGTAATGAACTATGGGGTTTGGCATGAGTTTGATTTTTGATTTAATAATGCATGCTTTGGAAGTTCGATTGCACCAATGCAGGTGGCAGACTGGAACACGGCAATTTCACAGGATCTCATCAATGGATTAGTTCTGAACTCAAGCCTTTTCACTTAAGTCCTTGAAAGAGATAAGAGAAATTTAAACAAAGTATACATTTGAGAAGCTTAGGCCAGTACGTGAATTAGATCATCCATTATAGACCTTAGCAAGGCATCTAAAAATGTTTGAATATTTAAACTCAACCACTTTGATATAATACTTTAATGAAGATTCATTTAAATACCAATGCTTTATTGTTAACAGACACAAATACCCAAAAGCGTAGGAGCAAGTTGCCGGAGGCCACAAATCGGCTTTGATTATACAAGCTCAGGATTCATGTCTCCACTGGTCAGTCTTAA